GACAGGCGGTTGAAAAGTTGACCAACCTGTATTGTATAGAGAAGACAATCCCCAATCTATTGGTCAGGGCTGGCAAATGTCATTTTCAATGAACGATCTCACGCGATATTTACAGAGTTATTTCTGTCACTATCATCGGATGGGAAAACAACGATAGAGTTTTTCTTCCAAATCTCATCGATTTTTTTGTCATGACAGAACGTGACAGTGTTGGGATCATTGCAATTATTAACTCATTTATTGGTATTTTTGTTATATGCACCGCGACAATCTTAAGAATATATTCACTCAACAGATTACATTCTGTTGCTTGTCTAAATTTATCTAAATTAGCTAGAAATTTTGATTCCAAAACCGGATGGAAATTATTCACATAAGTGCATGAACATTGGAAAATGACAAGACGGCTCATGATAGGTAGTTCCGTCTCATGATAGTGAGAGTGATAGTGAACCTGTTTTCTCATTGTCACATGACTGCCGTGATATATATCAGCTCTGCTATTGGTAATGTTAATTTGAATGATTGAGTTTTTGTTTACGAGAAATCGTACAAAAGCAGTACAGTTTATATACGTCAAAATATTATAGCAGACGAAAAATTGTTCATTGGATTCACTAAATTCCAATGAAAATATCGAACCGCCCAGCACGCTTCCATATTATTCGAACTTATTTCTAATAAAACTCTTCAAATTGTCGAAATCAAGTATTACACTTTGAAATATACTTCTAAGACCATATTACGTCGAGCAGGAAACTTGATTTTATTGACGTCAATTTTTCATGAAACCACTGTGTAGTCAGCGAAACTCTGTTTGTTACCGTATGCGTGATAATGTTTGCACCATTCCTGAAAGGGATAAAGTGAATACGGATGTGTATATCGGCATTATTAGTAAGTATGTCCTTCCTTGGATTACTGAGCAATATAAACTGGAGCCGAATGTGATCTTTCAGCAAGACGGGGCACCATGCCACACCTCGAACCGCACGCAGAATTGGCTGAAGGAACATCTGCCATCCAGCCCCGATCTTAACCCCTTGGATTATTAAGTGTGGTGCGTCATAAAGGTCAAGGCCTGTGCCAAACGCCACTCCAGTACAGCAAGTCTCAGACAAACATTGACCAGCGCCTGAAGAAATATGAAACCGGATTAAATTATCAGAACATGTCGAGCATGTGTGTTGATGCCGTAATTGTGGCAAATGGAAATTCTATCGATGATTAACATAGGTTTAAGTTCTAACAAACATATCCCTTTTAAATAAATAATTTTTTCCACCCCGAATATTTTCAGATTTTTTGTTGTTTTTACAGTGTTTAATGGGGCAAACATTATCGCGCATACGGTAACATCTATTAATTGCATAAAAGGATTCTGTGACACTACCCCGAATGTCACTACCCCGAACGCCATAACCCCGAACGCCATTACCCCGAATGCCACTACCCGAATGTCCTACTACCCCGAATGGCCATTACCCCGAATGCCCTACTACCCCGAATGGCCATTACCCCGAAATTAGGACAAATGAAAGAACAGCAAGGGGTCAAAAGAAGGGTACATTTTTAGAAGGAAATTTCGTTTTGGAATTTATACTGAATACAAATGATAATTTTTTATTGGAATTTTGAAGCTTGCAAGCGAGCAAGCTTGTTTTACGCGAGAAGCCCGAGAGATGTCGTTACTGAGGTCCTATGTTTTGAGATACTATGTTTTCAAGAAAAACTTTTTCAAAGTGTTATGTCTGTTGTCTGTGATTAAACTCTCTGATTAGTTTCACTTTACTAAATTGATGATACACTACGTTTACTTTTATGGAACTATGTATTTATCAATTCCAAACCATTTTAAAGCTCTTTAGAAAATGACAACCTTCAAGTTTTCGAGCACTTCGTTCACCATTTAAAAAGTCAAATGGTCTAATATGCAATCCAATTCAATATGCAATACCAGTCGGAAACTGTTAAACCTTATCAAAGAATTGTTCGACCTGAGTCTAGACCTGAGTTGAAGAATTTCTCGTTATGGATTGAAAAATCGGTGCATGGAACGTTGAACTATCGATTACAAATTTATAACATTATTCCACACGTTATTATCGCAAATGGTCATTACCCCGAATCCCTTGCCAAAAGCTATTGATTACATATTTTCCTTATATATTAAAAGAAGGGAATATTCCCTTCCCTTCCTTATCATACATCCAAAGAATAAATTATTTTCTTTTTGTATATTCAAAGAAAGGAATATTCCCTTCTTTATCGTTCATCCAATAATTAATTATTTCCTTTTGTTATATTTTCAAAGAATGAAATATTCCCTTCTTTATCATGAATGTGTCACAGAATCGCATAAAAGATGTGTTCTTCCATCGGGAATTTTTCATATAATATCCAGACGCAAAGTCCGAACACCTCGCACGATCAATTTAATACTTTTTCTTCTTCCTGACTTTGACGCTCGCAAACGAGCCTACTCTCAACTCACTTCCACAGTTATCAATTGTCAATCAGTTGCATATTGTTTGCGCAATAATACTCTCAAGCCTATTCTGCGAGTTGTGTGACTCTCTGTCGCTAGTGAGGTGACAAAAGTCACGTCGTGTGAGATGACTCTCCGTACAAAACAATTGGAGAGTAACCTCACACGTCGTGACTTTCATCACCTCACTATTGACAGAGAGTCACACGACTCGCAGAATAGGGGTGACTGCCAAGGGAAGTCGAGACAATATCCTCGAAATAGACCGGATCGGGAATCGATTCCACTGTCTTGGCTATTCAACCATCTTGTTCCCATGGTAGCACAGGTGACCCAACACTTTTCGGTCTGTCTCATGTTTGTCAAACTACACACTTAGATTAATTACAGGAGTCAGTATTTTTTACTGGGTTTTTAAGTTGCTGAAAAAGTCGATAAAACTTCAAATGATCGTTATCCATAAGGAATCAATGAAATCGACAAATTTTATTTTCTATCATTAAATGGGGTTAACATGGGATTTTTCCATAGACTTTTAAACTTTTACCGAACAGTTCCGCAATTCTAAAATGCATTAAAACCTTAGTGACTGAATTAGTGTGTACTATTAAATGGTCAGTAATTATTGAAGCTGCTCTGTATGCCCAACATGTATTGTTGAGAATTCAACTGAGCAACTATTGAAAAACAATTAAAAAACTATTGATTTTAGATTCGATAATTTTAGGCTGCGTGGAACATCATCAATGGTCTATCGCTTTGTTCAAGAACACATATTTGTATCTCAAAACAACGAAAGGGTTAAGGCCCCTGATTAATTCACTGTTTTCAAACGAATCGGATACGTCATACATAGAAGAAAAAAAAATGTACCTATGACGTATCCGATTTGTTCGAAAACAGAAATAAGGAGGATTATTCCAACCAACAATGAGGCCTATTCTGCGCCACGAGTAAGGTGACTCAGGCTTATTCTGTGCGGCGTGTGAGGTGAGGTGACATGCTGTTACTTTTGAAGTGACACTGTCCCCTCGGGTGAGATGACCCTCTTTTCAAATCAAATGGAGAGTCACCTCACCCGTGGTGACAATTATCACATCACCATCACCTCACCCCTAGTGAGGTGACAACATCATGTGAGGTACCTAGCTAACAGTGCAAATCAAACGGAGAATCACCTCACACGAAATGTCGTTGAAAATTGAACTACAAGCAATGTTTTGTAGTGAATTTGAATCTTTTAGTTAAGTCTGCTCATAAAACTTAATTTGTTGTATGGATTTTGCTGACGTCTTCAAACAGTGTTTTTATCAAAATTCTCTAAACAAATTTTGAGATTCTTTCTGCACTGAAAAAAAGTTTTCACTTAGTTTCTATTAGGAACGCACATAGTATTTTTCCAAAAACAATGACTTTTACCTGAATATCACATAGCATTAGAAATTCTATATGAGAAATCATATAGATTTCATTGGACACATAACGTTCATGTGTTTTAGGGGTGCAATTTACAATTATGGGATCACATGAAAGTTATGTGAAATTCAAATGGATATTTTCCACTGGTTATGTAATTTATTTTATGAGTGTGAAATTCCCCTAAAATTTTCTCCACAACATTCTAGGATTTCTCTGCATAACACTTTGAAGATTCCTTAAAGGGTAGTAGAAAATCATGCTCTTATTTTTTGTATGAAAAATACAGTTCGAACGAAAACGATAATATGCAATAATGTACATATAGGTATATAATATCAATGCAACAGCAATGATGGTTTACTTTTTCAAACCAGTATTGGTGCTAAATTGAGCCTGTTATCAAAAAAAATCAAGTCCATGACCAATCTTGCCCCACCTGACGCTACAAGCGATATTCAACTAACTTTCCGTATGACAAGAATTTCCCACTCTTTTAAAATTATTCCTGTGAAATACAAAAAAAAAAATTCCATACAAAATCAATTGTTCGGAATTTGAGTCACTTTTTCTTCTTCATTGGACGTACATAATATTTTTAGTAAACCTAGAAGTTACGTTATGTTAATGTTGTACACGGTATCCACTCATACTGACTCATCCATTCATTCCAGGGACTTGTTGTGGGACGGAGATCAACCTTTTTTTTATTTATATTACACTTTATTTGAGTAGGAAGATAAAATCTGACCAGCAGATAGCAACACGCAACTTTTTTGTTTGTTTTGTTTTTTGCAATGGGGATTAGAAGGCAGGAAAAGGACCCTAACGTTTTTTATTGTACTTTGCTCTCTACAGACCGACGCAAAATCATACGAGCCAGCTTTTGTGTATTCGGTGTTCGTACTGGGCAATCGAGGGGATCATTTTGATAGAGTATATTAACAAGAGAATAAAAAGGGTATACTTAATCGTGAGAAGATAGGTTGCCACAAGGCGATACACAGAACCAGCAGTCAGCAAGAACCAACAAGGAAACCATTGGGTTGCATCTGGCAACGGCGGCTTACTGTTGCTGCTGTTGTGGCAGTAGTACCTGATTCCTCGGATGGGTTCCTTGTGGGCCTGGAACATTTTCACGTTGTTCATGTTCGACTGCCAGTACTTGACGTAACCGCTGTGATCACCGGTCACCATCCAGTTGTCGTTATGGGACCACACCATCGTCCGCACGGAGACATCGTGGGCCTAAGGAAAGAGGTTTGAAGTCCCAGAATGTAGTTCTCTTTGTCAATATGATTATGATTGCTGTTTATGAGTTGTGATTGTGTGAACTGCAGAGGCTGATGAGCTGATCAATAATCGCAGACCATCACAGGCTGTAAAATTAAAATTACCTGCAAAATAGTTTCAAAGTTAAACGTCAATCCATTCCACAGAGTAAACTCTCCCGAACTGGCACCGGTGACAAGACGGCGCCCTTCCGGTGTCCACGCAAGAGTGAATATCGGACAACGCATCTTGTTGGTGGCTGTTTTGACGAACCGCGTTGTGACTGCGTTGGTCGGATTGTCCATGTAGCTCGGAGGCGGCAGTAATTCCGGAATGTAGATACACTCGGGCTGCAGGGCACGTCGATCGCGGTAGTCGCGTTCCCAAGTGCGAGTCTGACGTATGCAGTAGAAAATCCATGATTAATTTCTACGGTACTTCCTCGATCAAGGAAAAAAAGAAGGTTCAAGGTCAATACTTACCTCCAACGCCTTGATGATAGAAGCATTATAATCCACAGTTTTACGCATTACCGATTTCCGGAGCCGTTTACCATCGAAATCATCCTGTGTCATGGGAAGTCCCCCACGGAAGCCATTGAAATGGTGATAAGGTCGGTGGTGGTAAAAGTTATGCTGTGGCTTCTGCGACTGTGGATTCTGATAGCTCAGAATACGATTAATTGGAGGGGGATTGGCAAAATTTGCACCTCCCATAGGATCGGGTGGAGGCTGTGAAAACTCCATTCTGCTTACAATTTCCACTAGGAAAAACCAATGTTGTCTATTTATTTATTGATTTCAGAACTAATAAGCTAATCACTTTCAACAACGAGCAAGTTCGATTTCTCAGTTCGAGCCGAAGACATTATTTCTGCAAGCTTTCATTTTCGTGACTCCAATGCAAAACGACAGCGCAAAAACCTTACATTCATATTGCCACAACTATTCCGTATCTCATGAATAAATTCATACACCAAAACACTCGCGCCGACTCCGAGGTTCGAACTAATCGATATTTAATGCTTGTAGTTTCCAAAAATACGTAGTTTTTTCAGATTTTCTTCCAACAACACTCAACTCAACGCGTGAAACAAGCGACCATTTTTATACCGTTTGACGTTTAATGACTTTTACACGCTAAATTGAAAACTCCCAATAATACGTAAAATTTCGCCTACACGCTAAGATGCACATACCTCAAAGTCGGTAAATTATAACTACACGGTAAGAAAAGTCCCCAACGGCCAGTTCACTTTTACCTACTTTTGACTAGTGTATCAGTTTTTTTCCTTTTAATGTTGTCAACGACGGAGGAGCAAAACCACCTAACAGGGGTTGGAAAGTGTGGTAATCTAAAGTTAAGTATAATCATATTTACCTACTTTTGGGTACAACTCACTTACTTTTTACGGTAACCTTTGTAAACACATAAATGAGTAAAATAATACACATTTTTTATATTTATATGCAGCTGTCAAAAAATGTGTAAATTTGTAGATCTTAAAATGTGTAAAAAAATACACATTTTAATTATGTAGTACCAGTCAAAAAATGTGTTATTTTATACTCATTCATGGGTAAAAAAAACTTCAAACTTTGCTGGATCCTGCCTTGTTTACGCACGCCATTTGTATATATTTCAGCAAAGTACAACAGGAAAATGGAGGAACTACGGTCCAAGCTGGACAGCGCAACGATGGACATACTAGAGGATGTGATTTATACTATTTTCATAGTTAAGTTTTATAAAAAAAAATCATAATCTATGTCCGGTGTCTCGCTTGCTTCATACTGATTTTTGTTTTTTGTTCTGGATCCTACCTACACGAAATGAAAATCAATTATTTTATTCATGTGTTTCACTTATACATTTTTGCCAAAACATCAGCCTTATACATTCCATTAGACAAACCAAATAGGTCCTATAAAAATGCATAAAAGGTATGTGTGACCGCTTATACATTTCATTTGATACATGATCTTCATTAACTTTTTGCAAGGCGTTAGCTTATCAGTTGACTTATACATTTTATGAATAATCAGCAATAGAAATTTGCCAAAAGGTATAAGGAGATTTATATCCGTGTATCGATCCATCAACTCATGAACCGGGGACCAATGGCTTTACTTCCCTTCCGAAGGAAGGCTTGATTCTCGGCGTGATCAGAGATGTTATGCCTCAGAACATCCCAGCGGTGCCGACTGGGATTGAAATCAGGCCTGCTTATCACTACACCACCGGCGCCGGTACTGATTTTTTGATGGCTTCCTTTTTTTTAAATAAAATATGATTGTATTCGAGCAATCTTTATTTTATCATTGACATAAATAAAAAAATCCGAAGTTGAAAAAAATTAAAGGGTTGTGTCCTAGACACGACCGCAGTATGACGTAGAACCACACAAAATTGATGTTTTTCATGCATTTTTGACTATTATACTTTATCTTAAAATTTTCAAGTATTTCAATGTTTCGGTTATGGTTGACTGAAAACAATTTACACATTTTTCTTGACAAATATCCATGTGAAATTCCACATGATTTTCATTCGACCACACATAAACAGAATCCACTCAGAAGTACACATGAAATTTATACGCTAATGAATAGTATGTGTGGTCACGCATGGTTTTAATATGTACATATATTAAGTATGTGGCCGACACATAGATATTGATTTGTTGATCACGTTGCAACAACTCATGTGTGGGATTTGAGGGGTGTGTTTAGGAGAGGTTGTTGATGAGTGGGGGGGTAGGAAAGTTTGTTGATGAGTGGGGGGAGGGGGTTAGAAGCTGTTGTTGATGAGTGGGGGGGGGGGGGGGCTAGGAGAGGTTGTTGAGGGGGGGAGTGTTGTGAAGGGGGAGGGGGTTTACATCACTAATTTCATTGTGGTCACGCAGTGATCCACCTTTAGCCGCTGATTTGGTCCTGCTTACTGCAGGACCAAGTGCCACGCCGTCTGAAGCGACAATGAGCAAACGCATGACAGCAGCGCTGTTTTATATCTTTTCAGGTTCAGAACCTGATAGGATTTCCCGCAGTTTTTTTATGAAAGGGGCGGAGCAGAAAGTTTCTTTTGTGCAGAATATGTAAAAAAGGATAGACTTTGGATCTTAATATAATTGCATATATAGAGGTACCAGATATGTTTTACAGTCAGTTGTTGGTAATTCATCGAGTGAATGTCTCCTATTAAGCAATATTTTATTTTGAAGATGTTGGCTCTGCATGTAAAAAATTAATTGTTCATACATTATTAGGGTTTGCTTAAAATTTATTTCCCGAAAAAAAAAATGATCGTCAAAGTCCATGTCTTTATCGGGTTATTATTAAGGGGGAGGGGGAGGGCGTTGTTAAGCGGGAGGGGGTTATAAATGCACGTTTTTTCAAGTCTCATTCCTCATTGTGGTGGACACGCCGTGATCCACCTTTAGCCGCTGACCTAGTCCTGCTTGATGCAGGACGTAGTGCCACGCCGTCCGAAGTGGTAATGAGCAGAGGCATGAGAGCAGCACTTATTTATATCTTTTCAGGTTAAAGAAGAATGATGTGCAACCAAGTGGTATTCGTTTATGATGACTGGGTTTGGGAAAAAGGCTTATTTCATGAAATCAGTGATAAAATTATCATTTGTACATTTTCAATAGTTTGATTACAGAAAAATTGGAAAAATATTTATTTCAACAGGTTCGTAATGTAATATCCTATCGATTGGCGTATTTGGATTTTAATTTCATCTATAAATGACAAAGTTACAAGCGTTCAAAACCTAACACTCCTTCACCACACATATTTTTTGATTTGCACCCCAGTATAGTCGACAAAGACGTAGTTCTACGTCAAAACCATGCGCACCCATTATATTTAAGATCTAGAAATGATTACTTTTTACATATTTTGCTGTAAAAATCGTTCTTGAAAAATGTGTAAAAAAATACACTTCTATAGACGTTTGCTGGGTTTATACATAAATGTGTAAACGCAGTTTACACATTTAATGAGTAGACCCCTTTGTGAAATGACAAAATGTGTGAAATTTTGCACATTAATGTGTTTACGCTGGTTACCGTGTTGGGTAGAAAGGGTACACGGAGAAAAAATACTACCCAAAATTTGAGTTCTTTTTACTTAATATTGACTTCAGCCTCTCACTTGCACTCGTTATTGTTGTCAAAAAAGGAACAAGAGATTCGACCCAACGATATAGTTCAGCCCAATAAGCTACTTTTGAGTAAAATGCATATTCTCAAATTTACGTGAATTAAACTTAATTTTGGGTAGAATATACTTAAGAGTAGGTAATTTTTTTTGCTGGTGTTAAATGGAAACTACTATATGCGATTTACTCAAATTTGGGTTATTGGGCTGAACCCCGGAATTGAGGGAAAAGTACTTAATTTTGGGTAGTTTTTCATCTCCGTGTAGAAAGCGAGAAGAAAGTTCCGTACACGGCGAATGAGAACGACCCAAATTTGAGCTTGGTCATCACATAAAGTGCAGGAACTCAGCGATGAGTAAATTTGCCTCATGTTTTCCCAGGTTTTTCCAGGATTTTCCAGGGAAAAATTCCCGAATTTGAGAAAAGTAAAGATTGTCTATTGGTACTACTCCGAGACTGAATAAAATTTTCGTCAATTTCCTCATTTTCAGGCAGATTTTTTAGGTTTTCCACAGGAAACCATGAGACAAATTTACTCATCGCTGAGTTCCTGCACTTTTGGCGATTATGAGTGAACTGAACTCAAATTTGGGTCGTACTCATTCGCCGTGTATTTGTGCAATTCCACAAGTAAATGAAAACTATAAACAATGAAACCTACATAAACGTGAACCAGGGTTGCTTCCACTCACTTGCTAAAAAAAATGTTTTTCGGAATTGTGAGGTCGTTGGACGTTGTAGTGATGATTGGTACTTGTGAGTTGCAGAAAGAGGTTGAAAACTAGGTGTTTGACACATGAGACCTGTCATTATTGCTTCGGCGGCGATTTTATGATTCGTGAGCGCTCACTCTGAGTGAACGCTCACGAGTCGTGAATTCGCTGATTGTGACGCACTAAAGGCGAGATTGACAGGTTTTATGTGTCAAATACATGCTATGCAACCTCTTCTTGTGTCTGGCAAGAACACAGTATTATTGTAGCATCCGGTGGTTCCATAGTTTCGGGAAGCATTTTTTATAGCGAAGTGAGTGGAAGTAACCCTGACGTGAACCATCACTTGACCTTACCGATAATGGTTATAAATTGTTTATAACCCCTCCTTTCACGAATACAAGCGTTTTACCAACAATCAATACGAAACTAACGATTTTAAATTGGCTCACTACTTGACTAGCCTATTGGTCCCAAGCAAACGATTAACGTACCCTATTCTAGTCGAAATTCTAGTACTACGCAATGTTTGTTTTGATTCGCTATGAAATTTTGACAGATAAAATGAGGGGTTATTGGTTTTTCCTATGTTTCGAGGGGTGAATCGATTAGCTTGGGACCGAAGAGAGTACCAGAGCTGAGCCAAAAAGTTGAGCACGTTATTATTATAGTCTTAGAGTTACCTCTATGGTTTTACTAAAGAGCCTAAATTTAAAAAGAGGCGACATGTCAAAAATGGAACAGTCATTTGTCTGTCAAAGTCATAACAATCGAGCAGAAGACCTGTCAAATGGATAAGATGTCGTCTCTTTATAAATTCAGGCTCTTTACGTTTTACTGGTTGAAAAAAAAAAAAAAAAAACAAACCGCTGTCAACAAACACTTTGACGGCTGATTTCGTGGTTGAAAATAATAAACAAATCGATTTTAAACGGCTACACTAGCTAGGTTGTATTGGTGAGATCTTGCGTCGAGAAGTCAATGGAACTTTACACGCACTGATAAAGTTTTAACTTTATGTATTTTGATTTTTTGGAAGTGGACCGTTACCATTCCAAATTCTTGTTTTCTCCATACATTTTCGGAAAGAGAACTATATTAGAACCTTTAAACTTATGGTTTGAGAACTTTAATGATAATGGTTATGGCAGTCAGTAAGGTCCATGGATGGTTTTGTGTTATCGGTCATCTTTACGTGAAATCTATCGTGAATTTGTAATCAGTAATT